ACAGTGTCACATCACAGTGGAGTCAGCTGTCTTAACCGTGGCTTGTGTACTGCAAACGCATACCAGCTTCATCACTGTGTCTGTCACGCTACTCTGTTCCCCTTTAGGGCTCTGTCTTTACATTTATTTTGAAAGATGAAGCTCGTGATTATGGTAAGGGGCGTTACATTTCCGACGAGTGCTTGTGGTGTTCGGCCAATCAGAATGCACTGGGTCAGCTGGCCAATCAGAGCAGACTGCGCTTGTCAAAGGAGGGGGCTTTGTAGAAAACGAAGCGTTTGAGAGAGGCGGGGCATAGAGGACCTACAATAATGTACAGTATTTGAAAAATAATGTGTTTTTTTGAACATTAAAGCATGTCAACATATTCTGTTACACCAAATACACAAAATAATGATCTTTAAAATAGCATCATATGACCCCTTTAACAAGCTCGTAGCTCACAGCATGTCTGCCATTAAAGGTTTACAAGTAACTGACATAAAATTAAAAACCATAAATAAAAAATAATAACTAAACATAACTGGGAAACAAATACAGTACATTTTCAGGATCGCAAAAATGCAAAAATTGCTAAAAATGAACATTTTTACAAATTAATTTTAATGTGGTTATTTTTATCTTTTGATACATTGTACTTGAACGCATTAAACATGAAAATACCACTAAATAACGATAACACTAGACTGAGAAATGTAACATTTTAAAATTCTACCAGTTAGCACATTAACTTTGGCAGCCCTAAAATACTAACACTAAACTGCAAAATAAGTACCAGTATAATTACAACTAACACATCTAAATTACAGTATACTGAAAAGACAAACTGACTGAAAATAAATTTAATTAATTAAATTTCCCCAATGTTTGCCACAATCATTCTGGGGCGTGTTTCCCAAAAGCAACTATGGTCGCAAGTTCCAATCTTGTTCAATGGAACTTACGACCATAGTTAGCTAACAATGATTTTGGGAAACGCACCCCTGTTTGGTGACACAAAAATGACATTCTCCAGCTTTAAATTGGTTTCTCCACACACCATGCACATATTTTGATATGAGGGATTTCCTGTGAATATAAAGAGGCTTCCCTCATTCAAACTGCATGAGGCTCAAAGGCAAAGATCTATGAGCAAGCTGATATTCGTACATTTGGGAACACACACGCGCACACTATACACTCCACGCATGTAATTTCCTCTTTGTGCCTTTGCATGCTGTTTAGAAAGCCTTAACAGAGCACTGACAAACACAAATGACTCTCCCTCACTTGCCTGTGAGGAAAATCAAGGCATTACCACAGTGTTCCCAGACCACAGTGAGTGTCAGAGCTCTTAAAATCCACACCCAGTGCAGGAAACTGCCGATGCCTTCTATATTACCACAATCTTCCTGCTCTTTCCATCATGAGCCTGTATCATAAATTAAGTGGGTGGAGGCAGGCTGAAATTGAATCAGCCATGATTCCCATATAGGTGGAGGAAATGTCCAACAAAACAGATGACACTGCATTTGTGATAAAAACAACACACACTGTAGGACGTCCAAAATGGTTAAGCTAACAACTCTATATTTCCAATATGTCTCACATCCATGTAGTTTTGTCATACTTTAAGGGGATGTTTTTATGATACTCTATCTCAGATGTGAAATATAATCCTTATCTGCGCTGAGCTCTATGCTGGATACTCCTCGTAAATGATCAGTGATTAAATTTCATCTGCGTTCCCCCCAGCCAATGGATGACTTAGAGTGCAATGTACGCCCATAGATACAGGCACACATTAGAAGCTACACGGGACATACAACCAATGGTTCTCTCTGCATTGTGAGCAAGTACAATGAATGATCAAATGAATGTAATCGGATAGATGTAGCATTGTGTGAGATGAAAGGAACATGGCCTTCTTACATATACAAACAACAGCATTCAAAAATTCAGCAAACACTAAATACCATGCATTTTATGTATGATTATGTTCATAAGTTTTAATGTGACATACATAGTCACTCTGACTCAACGAGCAGAGCTGCTCTTGCGCACATTGCATACGACAGCTAACTGCCAACTGTCTGTGATCCGTAACGGCAAAACAAGCTCTTCCACCACAGACGAAAACCTTCGCAGCATCAAAACTTAACACATTTTTTGCACCCACTGTACTTATTACACTTACAAAAAAAGTTATTTCCCTGCTACTGAAATTAGTATTACACCCAATTTGCAAAACAACATGTTTGCACAGCATTTTTATAGTAGGCATAAATATGATCAATTTAGATCTTTCTGTTACCACTGGAGCAATATAATAATAATATTCAGATACAAGTGCTCTGTTCCAAAACTTAGTGAGACCATTTAAGTAAGGCGCTGTTGTTGCACAATTGTAACCAAAAGCATAGCGTTTGACCTTCTTGATGAAGGCAATCCCAGAATGCACTGCATTTATTGTAACTCCAATATCTAAGATGGCAGACAAAGTGAGAAAAATAAACACATATATGCACATATAAAAATAATGTGCATATATACATATACAAATGTATAATGAACGTATAATTTAAAAACAATACACAATCTTCCTCAAAACATCATTACCAGAGGTTTATCAAAGTGTATTTGGGTAAAGACATTGGGCCTCATTCATGAAACACGAGCAGAACGATTTTTTTGTGTAAATCATTCGGAAAGTCGCTCTGACGTAAATGTTCGGATTCATGAAAATGTTCGTATTTTGAAAATGTTAGTTGGTACGAAATAAATTTACACCTGCTCCCTACCATGTGTAAATGTTGCATTAAAACATTCAAACGTTCTGTATTCTTTTAGACAAACTGATGACACTGCATTTTTATGAACTATATTAGAATGATATTTAACGAGTTCATTTGCCCTGTCTTTTTTCGTTTTATACTCTTTAACTTTGGGTAAAACAGTCTATGGGTAAAACGCAGAGCTCGTCACTGTCCCTTTTTACACAGCCGTCCAATCACAGTGGAGGAGGGACGGGACAAACATTACATTGACCAACCATGATCATACTTGTACAACACAACAATGGAGAAGTTAATATTGCTGGTTACTGCATTTTTATATTCAGTAATATTCTTCAAAATAAGATACTCTTAACATGTTACTGCCATGAATATTCCAAATCATAGCAAACGACGCGTCACTCCAGAAAAATGCAGTGCCTCCAAAGCTCTCTCAAGCAACAAAAAATATAAAATACTATAAAAATATGCTAATTGTGAATGAGCGTGCATGCGCTCCCTATTTACGAATGATTGGAATTCATTGACACACACATTTAACTATCAAATCTGACCTTTACGAAGTATTTGTGAATCCGGAGGAGAGTTTTCAAGAAGGTCCGTTTTACGTGTAAATTATTTAGAATTTACTCATATATTTACGAATGTTTCATGAATGAGGCCCATTGTTTGGAAGACAAATTTTTTGCTGTCTCTCTCATTAACAGGATTGTTATTTTTTATTTTAAAAAAAAGTTTTTGTTTAAAAATTTTTTAACTTTTTTTTTAACTGTAAATAAAAACAGAATATTTTACCAAATAATTTATTATGTGCTATATTTTATGCTTATTAAGGTGCAATCACATTAACGAAATTTTAGTGAAATTTCCCAGGTAAAATGGTCCATTGTCGATTGCAATTAGACACAGCTCACACAAAAAATACATTCAAACCAAGCAGTTTACTGTTGGTCAGTGCAGTTAATCCCATTGCTAAATCTGTAAGGAAATCTTCCACCCTTATGCGAAATTCCTAATCGAATGCAGTACTATTGAAATGACTGGATTTCACACCTTTATTGCGCGTTTAGCTTAGCAACATGCTAACGTCAAATATTCTAGTGTCAAAATAGTCTCCTGTTCAAACCTGCCTATGAAGTTCTGGTCACTAATGAGGTTCCATTCTTAGAAGGCAGCTGTCTAGTGAACAAAAAAGCTACTAGGTTTGGGAACAGAACAAAACAGAAAGATTATTGTGCTTTTAGCTTAGCAACATGCTAACATCAAACTCTACAGTATAGCTGAATTTCTTGTGCAGTAAACCAATGTAGAGCGTTCCAAATTGGTAATTTATAATGGTTAGGATGCTGTTTTAGAAGCACGCAACCTGTAGCTTACTAGGTTTGGGAACAGAGCTACTCTGAATCAACCAAATGTACTGATGAAACAGAACACACACTGAAGTTGAACTGCACCTCATCGTTAATAAGGAAGAGCTTGTGTTGTTACATGATAATTTTGGTTATTGGCGAACTGGAGGCCCAGACTGTCACGTTGTGTACCACGGCACCTTACCTTAGCAGCAACTGAGGAACCTGGCTTCTCCAAAAGATCCCAAAGTTTCTTCCTCTTGTCTGAGCAGCAGGTGTTATCAAATTCCCCCTCTCCTTCCCTCTCTCTCAGAGTCTCTGCCTCTCTCCTCAGCTCCTCGTTCATCTGCTCTTTCTTCTGATGGTAGCGAGCCTGGCAGCACGACTCCAGGTAGATTTCATCAATGCCCCAGTAATCAAGCTCTTGCCCAAAAGACAGAGCGCACATTTCCTCCATCATGTGCAGCTTTCCAGTTCTGTAAAAATTCAAGATGGACGTGAACGCACCAGGGTGTCTGTCAAAGAAGTACTCGTTCTCGTTCAGGCAGTAGTCGTCACAGACCTCGATTAGAGACTCGTGGGTGTTACAGTCTCTGAGCTTGCCTAATCTGGTTCTGGGAAGCCGGTCCAAGGTCCGCCATAAGACCTCATGGTTGAGGCCCCCAACGTTGAGACGGACCCTTCTGGAGCGGGCCTTTGTCCGGATGATCTCGATAGGCTCAGGTGTAAGCGAAGCCGCAGATCTTCCTCCAGGTTTTGGAACCCCAAGTCCGGTCTTCTCTGCCATTGTGTGCAAGGAGACGGGCGGCTCTTGCCAGGAAGAGGTGTAAAGATGCAAATCAACCAGAAGATAACTGGACAAAGACGACTATGTTGGGTCTTCTTAGACGAGTCCCTCCATGGCTGTGAAGAAAGACAGACACCTGTTGTTTCCAACTTGAAAATTACATTTTTTTCCATGCAGTGGAAACTATTCCAGCTCATAATTATTTAGGAAATGTCCCTCCTTTGAGATCCATTAGGAATATGTCAGATTGTACTGTAATTGTTTTGCAAAGTACATCTGAAAGCAGAACTAAATGCCAGCATTAGATGCGATTTACATATCACCAACCAGGCGTGCCCTGTATGTAAAGAAGAAACTTAAGCTCCGGTATACTTCACCAAAGCCTAAGCTAAGAGAATAGTGGCACATCTTGTTTAAACTAAATAGAATTAGTAAATAACACAAGCATTATCTCGTTGTCACATTCAATATTCATCATTGGCCTTCTATCATTTCAAGGTTACGTTCAGGAGTCTAATGTAAGCCAATATGTGAGCGGATATAATGGATGTCAGAACATGCAGATCTCCTTTTTCTTTCTTAAACAAATAAAAAAGCAGCAGTTTCAGAACCTCTTTATTTTATTTTATGCGCAAAATGCATTTTCTGGCATTAACTGCACTAAAACTGCAATATTAAAAAAAAATTCTGATCCCTTAAAACTGACAATCATTGGTGTGATATTGTACTCTGTTATACTGAAAAAAAGACTAATAAAACTAGTTAATTTAGAAATATTTTACATTAAAAGGTTACAGATCATTTGTATTTGGTACTAATTGTACATGTGCTTGAACAAAAGACAGAAAACTGCAAAGATGCAACAGTTTCAGTGACCCAAACAGTCTCTTTCTCTTTCATAATCATCCATAATCATTACGTTATCTGATTTTCTTTTAGAAGTCAATATACCAAAGCAATAAAGTAAGATATATTCCCAAAAATATCAACGTTTACAACTTGTGTCCATCTGTACCACCGTGTTTCTCACATTAAGAGCTGTCAAACGCATTAGCGCCTATCAAAACCGTTCTACTGTATGCGTTGCATTGACAAGAGATTGCCTTTAACTTTGTAGCCTTGCTATGACAAAATGGAAAACAAATCTCCTTTCACTTCATCTCAGCTGTTCCACTCAAACAATGCAACAAACTATATTTCTTACCTTCCTGAAGTGAACCGCCGTTTGCATATACAAACCGCTGTGTGCGCAAACGGGAGAAAAGACGCCTGCGGGTTTCCTTTAAGATTCCTAGCTCTCAACGGAGGCTTCAGTTATGACCGGACATGTGTTCCACATTTTGTTCATCATGAAAAGGGTGAGGAGATCTCACAGAACACCGGGAAATCTCTGTGACTAAAAGAGCTCCCCTTGTCTCGCTAAGAGCGCTGCCTCCATCGATGGCTTGATATGGTGAGTCGGGATGTCTGCAGATGTCGGACGCGTAAAAGCGGAGGGTGCGCGCAGTGTGTGTGGAGCTGCAGAGTGACACTGTGCGCGCGTGTGTGTGTCTATGTGTGTGTGCGCGCGCGTGTGGACGGAATGGATCGTCTGAAGCACGAGCTGCATCACAGCCTAGAGGTGAAACCTAATTGGATTGGTCTGTACATCAGCAAGGGCAGCAGCAGATCAACTTCAGCAGGAACTCTCTCTCTCTTTCTCTTTCTCCCTCTCTCTCAAGAGTTCAATGGTCCACCACAAGCATGCAAGGTGGGATATCAGTTTTGCCACCTTTAGGCTTAAGATAGCACCATAAAACAGCCTTATTGTGTTTTTGTAGTTATTATCCAAGTTTATGGACATGAAGAGGCATAGAATAAAAATAATAAATCAATATTGATTACCTGTAAAATGTCTGTCCCTTGCTGGAGTGAAAATAATCTTAAAATTATATTACATACACAAAAACAAAATCTGTATTAAAATAAAAAAATATTGACCATACTATAAAATAACTAAATGTAAATAAATAAAAACGGTCAGCTATGATAATATTTACTGGATTATACACCAAATGCAATATACTGCTGTACATGCTTCTGTTTGCATTTCTCATCAATCAACAACTTATTATTTACTTTTTAAACATTATTATATATATACAGTATGTGTGCGTGTGTGTATAATATTCTTTGAAATATATAATAATTTCACATAATATAACTCTAATACATAATTATAATAATTTAACATAACAATATAAATGTAATGTATAATATATATATATATATATATATTATATAATTTAACATAACATATTAATACTTTTATATTTATTTATTTTATATGTATTTAATTATAATAATTTATAATATTATTCAAATTATATATATGAAAATATATAAATAATATGTAAACAAATATGATGGTTTGCACAGGGAATGCCTCTTTCCTTAAGGTGATTAATACTTTTTTACTTAAAAAATACTATTTTTTAACAAGTTTACACTAAAAGTACAAACACAAATTGCCTTTTATATTATATTAATTGTTATTAATGGAGAAATTCTTTATAAGGTAATTCAAACTTTTACTTCTAAAAATATTAGAATATTTTACAGTAAAATTACATTTTAAAATGACAATGACAGTTTTAAAATATAATCTCATTTTTTGTACTGCATAAGGTGATTGACAGTTAACAATTTAACAGGTTTTTACTGTTGTACTGTATTTTACTGTATTATGTTTCCATTAAAATCATAATATTTGTAATATTTATAAAATGTATATTTTTAAAATGTCATATTCTTTTATTTTACAAAATTTAATATCTCTGTAGTCTTAACATCATAGAGAATGCTAGAGTACATTGTCTTAAATAACATACATTTTTACATGCTAGACCGAGAAAGACAGATAATAATGAATACATCTATACTGATAATCACCAGGTGTGACTTGAAACCTCAGTGTCGTAAAGTAGGCTTAAATGGACACCAACAGTGTCAGCTGTACTGAAGCCAGTGCCAACAAGATATACTATATATTGACTTTTTTATGAGTGGCAGCAGTCAATACGTCATATGTATCTTGGCACTAAGCCATATATGTACTGCATTACTACTGTAGCAGATATTTTACAGAGTATAAGAAAACACTTTGCTATGCAGTGGTGGCAGTGAGTCCTTGTTTTTATTCCATTTGCCTTGGGGAGCCATGTATACGGCATGAAGTGTGATTTAAAATGTATAACAAAATGTGAGGATATGTAGTCACAGCAATTATTAGAAATGAAGCAGCTGTATTGAGTTTCAGGTGGTGTTGAATGACCTGCCTGGGTCTGTGCTATTAAAGTTCCCTCCATAACAGTAATTAAGCCTCTAAAACTGCATCTGCTTTGTCTTTCAAACAGGGCCAAGTGGAAAAAAAGATGAAAGGATGCAATAGTTTGGAGACCATCCATCCATACGCATGAGGTGTCACAGGACTACAGGAGACACAATGGTTGAGGAACAAATGGTGCGTGCTATAAATATATTCTATGAGTATCAAAGGGGCCCTAGTTTGATTTCAATAGACATTATACTGCGGCTCACTGGCGTTGGTCTGTGAATGATACTTGAAAGGGAATAAAGGGTGACATTTACATACAGTATACATTTATTTTCAGATGTTTGACTAGTACGGCCAAAAACGATTAACAAATCAAAAAACAAGTCACAAAGCAAAAAAAGTCACACACTGTGTTCTAGTACATTAGATAAATGCCTTTCACCCAAATGTTATAACATAAATATTTATAATTATACAGATATTTATATTTACAATTATGTATTTATAGTATATTTTGTTCGTTTATAAAAAGAAATACATAAAGTAATAATAGCATTTATAATATTATTCATAAATACAACATATAATTTGCTATTTATTTAAAATAAGTCACACACCTCACCAAATGGTTAGAGAAATGTGTAGCTTGAAATTTTTTCTGACCACTGCATTTTTGTGAAGCCAAACAGTGCGGTGAGTGTGATTGATGTTCTAGCCTCAAATGATGGATGATCAATACATCTGCATTGATTTTTCTGACTCCTGTGCATAGTCTGCTATGAGCCATAATGTGAGGGTGAAGAACAAGGTGGAAAAAATAAATGAAATAGTGACAAAGCAATAGACACAATTTAATAAGGAGTTGTAATCTATTGCCACTGCAGTTCAATAGAAATGTGCTAGTCAGCCACCTACATCAGTGCTCCCTAACAAGTAAACATCTTGCTGCTATGCCTGTCTGTCTTAACCACAGTTTGGGACCAGCTCATACAGGTTAATATTTTTATTAAAACGTCCTATATGCTTAACCATTACAGTAACACTCTTTTTTTATTAATTATTTCATGAAGACCTAGATAACCTGTGATTCCTTATTACATACAATAATTTATTTATAGTATAATTACCTTTTTTGGTCCCACTTTATATTTGGTGGCCTTAACTATGTGCTTACATTTAAATTAATCATTTGGTACAATGCACTTATTGTGTACGTACTTGTTTTTACATTGTACTTACATTTAAAAAAATACCTGCATGTAATTACATCTGCAATTAATTTCTGTAATTACATTTATAATTACACTGTTGACCCATCCCTTACACCTTAACCCACCCTTAAACCTACCCATACCACCAAACCTTTCCCTAACGTTACTCGTATCCCACCTCAATACAATATGAACATGATAAGTACATTGGGTCACACTTTATTTTAAGGTCCAATTCTTGGTATTAACAAACCATTAACTACAACTTTTGCCTCAATATTTAGGTATTGGGTGGGATTAGGGATGTAGAATGTGGTCATGCAGAATATGTGCTTTATAAGTACTAATAAACAGCAAATATGTTAATAGGCATGCTAATAAGCAACTAGTTAATAGTGAGAATTGGTCCCTATACTAAAGTGTTACTGTACACATTGTACTTCTTTTTTGATGTAAGTACATAGTAGTTAAGACACCCTTTTTATGCCTGTAAAGCCACAGAATGAGACCAGTTTATATCGGTTTCTGTAAATAGTATGTATTTCTCAACATTAAAAAAGTCAAATTAAACATGTATTAAAATAAATTTTATTATACACTTCAACTGAACCATACATACAGTACATATATAATTATAATTTTTATAGTATATTACGATTTATTTAATTAATTTAATAAATGTTCTTAATTGTTTTTAAAGTAATGGGATGTTTTTATTTTAAATGATTTATTTATATTAGAATTTATATAGAAAAAAAATACAGAATGTAATTATAATTATTCATAATATTATTTATAATAATTACAACCTTAAACTTTTATAAAAGTGTGTTTCGCTTTTATTTTTAACATTTCTTCGACATGCTGAACACGAAAATCACATTAGCATTGGCCATAAAAAGTAAAAAAAAATATGTTGACAACTTATTTTATATTTATTTATATATTACTTACAGAATAGGCTATTACAGAATGTTACAGAAACTTCTAGAATTTTCCCATCCTTGCAAAAGCAAATTGTCTTTAAAAAACATGCACAATTAGTACAAAAACTTACCTGTACTAAACCAGTGTTTCATAATTAAGGATATATATGTACAGGTGCATCTCAATAAATTAGAATGTCGTGGAAAAGTTCATTTATTTCAGTAATTAATGTATCACAGTCCATCAGAAAAGTCCTGAAGCTCAGTGTGTCTATAGTGCCATGTGTTGACATCGGTATTACCAGTGTAAATAAGGCAGGCTGATTTTCTGTTGTCTAGAGGCACTCTGGGCCCTTGTGAACAATGATTAAATGATACTGAGCTTCTGCATCTTTAATTATAAACTTTCCGCCAACATTTTGTCAAAGCACTCGGCGTTACCAAGACTACAAAACATTTTGGGAATGTAATGCATGTTTAATACTCAGTATCATGTGGGCATGTGTGTGTAGGCAGTTGCCATAGAAACACCAATCCTAGCATCATGCACAAGTAACATTTTGGCACAGCAAAAGGGTTACAGTATGCCTCAGAGCTAGAATTGCATGATGCTATCAATATATCTGATTGATTTTGTGCAAAAGCAAACATGAGGGCCTGTAAAAGTGTACGTACTTGACGCCTAAAATAAAATGCATATGCATGTGTCATGTGTGCATGCCAGTGTTGGTATGTGTATGCTTGTGTGTTCATGGGTGGGTGTTTATAGTGGGAGCGTTTATGGTGGGATTTAAGAAATAGATTTAGCTTAACAGGTAGTTGCCCACACCAATACCCAGTTGTTCCATCCAAATATACACAGCGCTGGATACTCCGTTTCTATGAGACCAAAATAAACAGCATAACATATAAACTGAAATGCTAATAGTTCCATATAGGTGCCGTTGAAGCATTGCAGTGCTGCTAGCTTGGGAGTTTGCGCAAGACAATTGATGCTAGCGAGCTTCTGTGTTTATGTGCATGGCATTAAGTTATCAGAGAGCCGAGTGTTAGCGGGGGGGGAGGCAGAAGGCTATAATTTAAGTGAACGTCTGTGGGAAGGAGAGGCGGGAGGGACCGCTCAGTTAAATTATACTAATAAGCGCCCAATCGATGCAGGACCCCTTGCTAAAAATAGAAGCAGCAGCTCTGGGTTGTATTGCTTTGTGTGTGTGTGTGTCCATAAAAGAGGTGGGCTAATACAGGGTCAATGATAGAATCTGTGCGACCATGGGTTTATTCTTTGTGACATCACACGAAAATCGATGCCCTGTTGGAAATTACACTGAGGTAGGAATGGCTGAGGTAGGAAATACTGCCACTGTTTTTTGGTGTCAACTGAACGGGCTTCTGTCAGGCGACATTATAAATTAAGTGAGAGACCTGGAGTGATGTACTTTTCAATTAAATGATTAATGGATTTCTGAAGCGCAAGGCGAAGGAAATGCATTAATGAAGCAGCCGTTGGACTAGCAGCCATGCAGGCCAGGAGGAGGGGAGAGACGGTTGATGTCAACAGGAAAAAAAGCAATGGCACACATCCATTTGTTTGCTGGTGTATTTTTAGGCTCTGAAGCAACACTCAAGAAAGCCACCGCACTGGAGGAGATTATTTTACAGAGAAATCTCAGTTCTGGATAACAGAAATGAAACACTTGTCTGGTTTGAACATGTCTTCAGTTGGATGTTTTTTTTTTTTTTTTGCTCTCCAGATTTAAATTTTTGTGCCCTAACCCCAGGGAAAATAAATGCCCCTATGAGGTTTCCAGATTTAAATTTTTGTGCCCTAACACCAGGGAAAATAAATGCCCCTATGAGGTTCTAGAGTTATTATTGTAAAGGAAAATAATTCTATTTTAATTATTTTATTTTACAACAAAAAGTCCATCAATAGACATTCTAGACTTTTTTTCTAAAAAGCAATACAAAGTTTAATTCCCACCACAGTGTCATTTCCACCTCTGTTTCATTTCGTTTCATTTCATTTCATTTTTCCAACAAAAAGTCCAACGGACATTTAAAATTCAATTTTTTTTCTTTTTTTTTTTCTAAAAAGTAATAAAAATAGTGTAATTTCCACCAGTGTCATTTCCACAACTTCTCAAATTATTTAGTTTTATGTAATTTCATTTTATTTTCCAACAAAAAGTCCAGTTCTACACATTTTTCTTTTCTCTAAAAAGTAATTAAATCAGTGTCATTTTCACAACTTCTCAAAAATATTTACTGTTCTATTTAATTTCATTCCATTTTTTTCCAACAAAAAGTTCAACAAGACATTTTTCTTTCTTTTTCTTTGTTAAGTAATAAAACAGTATAATTTCCACCACTTCTCAAATTATTTACTGTGTTTTATTTCATTTAATTTCATTTTTTTCCTCCAACAAAAATCCAACAGACATTCTAGAAATTTTTTCTTCTTCTAAAAAGTAATAAAAACAGTGTCATTTCCACCAATTCTCAAATTATTTACTTATTTTCTTATTTAATTTAATTTTTCCAACAAAAAGTTAAACAATAGACATTCTAGACATTCTTTTTTATCTAATCTCCACTCAAATTATACACTGTGTGTAGTAGCATTATGTGATGGTTCCTAAAGTTGAACTTTTTTTTTTTTTTGGTCTTGTTAAGCTTGAAAGTTCAATGATATTTACTTTGAATTCTCTAGTTTCTCTTGTTTTCTTCATCACGTCTTATATTTCTTCTCAAGCTGTTCACTGACACTGTTGTCTACTTTGTAGTCAAGTACACTAACTTACTTAACTTTATTGGGGGCAAAATTGCTTGGTGTGGCGGAAATGAAGACAATTTTGGGAGAGTTATAATTTTGAAAAATGATATAAATAGTTTTCACACAATTAAAATTGAAATGGTTTATTATGTAGCTACTTGTTTAGACTAAAGCCAGGGCCGAAGCTATTCATTTTATATATTGTGATTTAAATCACATACTGTACTATGTTAAATGAAAAATAAATAAATGCATTTTAAAAATACTTCTGGTCAA